ATTGGCCCATTGTCCAGATAATGACATAAAGTGAAATGGACAACCAATAGATCTCTTCCTCCATTGCTTGTATTCTGGACAGACATTGACCCAAGATAGTCCATTTGGCCCAGAATTGGCCAGGAGGACAAGAATGGACTGAATTGCCTTTGGCAAGTTGCAAACTTCTTTTAATAAGCTCAAGCTTATCTCTGAAGTAAAGGCCTCTCCTTTTAATTCTAATACTCTTCTAGTACTATTGCATAGTTGGGAGTCATGGTCCGGTAGTCTCTGAAGAATTTAAATTGAGTACCAGCTAAAAGGGAATAGAGAAGCCCATGTTGGATGTGAGAAGACAATTAAACACAAAGAAATATCAAGGTGAGTAATATATAGGATGTGATGAAAGAAATCCAGTTATTCCTAGTGGTTGGGTAATTTTGGTCAGTTTCCTTATTTGTAAAATGAAGGTGTTAGACCTGATGTTTCAGAGGTCCTATGCAACTCTCTATCTATGATATAATTGAGAATGAAAGGGTTGTGATGTGACCAGAATGAGGTTTAGTTGTAGTCAGGAACATGTGAGTTTGAATCTGTTGTCAGTCATTTAATAACTGTGTAAGCCTGAGCAAGTCTCTTAACCTTCATATGTTCTCATCTATAAATGTGAATTATAATAGCACCTACCTCCCAGTCATGTTGTGAAGATGAAATGAGATATCAGTAAAGTGCTTTGTAAACTTTAAGGCTTTATAGAATATTCTAACTGATGGATAGTCTGCATTCTCAGTTGATACTTTTGAAATGTCAAGAGAAAGCCAAGAAGGTCCTCAGCAGCTTGGGTGGATTATAGTGGTGAAGGCAGGAAAGGACATGGGTAAGAGGCACGTGGGCTGGGCTGGCATGACTGGGTTATGATTGCCATTAGTGGAATGAATGAATAAATACATGAATGTGTAATTGAATGACTGAAAAAGGATTAATTAAGGAATTACTGTGTACTGGATATTTGGGAATGAACTTCAGCTAGGACACCCTGCTGGACAAGTATGCCAAAAGACTTGGCTGGACAGATGAAATTTTCTTCTTAGGGGTTCATCAAGGAGTGGATGAGAATCATGATGGGCCAATATAGGGCTGGAGTGATTTCACAGGCTATTTCACACTTGGGTCACTGTGGGTAGGCCAATTAGTATCTTTTGGGCTCGGTTTTCTATTCTGTAAAATGAAGGGTTTGGATATGAAGACAGCTAGGTACAGTGGAGAGAGTGCATAGAATCAGAGATCCTGAGTTCAGATGCTGGCTTATTACAGCTGTGACCATAGGTGAGCCACCTTGTCTCTCTGGGCCCCAATTTCCTCCTTTGTATATGAGGCTGGAATAAAGGAACTCTCAGGTCTCTTTCTACTGTAAATTCTGAAATTATATGATCCTTTTCCTTCATTTGTTCACTCATTTAATCATTCATTTGATATTTATTTTATTAGTGTTTATTTTGGGCAGAGTACAAAATATGTGATGGTAACTGGGAAATATATGAAGCCTAGGTAAAAGAGGACTGCTGTCCTTGTGGAGCTCACAATCTAGGGAAGGGACTAAGACACAAACACAGATATCTACTGAAAAAACTTCCTGAATTTATGAATTGGTCTATAGGGAAGTGCAAGTGAGTGAACTCCCCCTATCAGCACAGATGGGTACCTGCTCTGTAACTTGTGGTTTTGGAGAATGCCTAGGGCACTGAGATGAAGGAACTCCTGGAGGGACCTACATT